CAAAGTCATATGTTAAAACAAAGTGATGTTAATTTGCAGTATTGGATACAAATTCAGGTTAATTCACTGGCTGACTTACGTTTTCATAGCTTGTAGTTCTAGTTTCATCTACATTGAGGCCTCTAGGTATCACCTTTTTAGTGCTTTTCATCTTTTGTGTCAGCTTTAGTCAGGAAAAGCAGAAAGAAAAACAGATCCAACATCCTTAGCACAATTCCTGTTCAAGTTCGCAAAAGAATTCCTGAAATCTTTGTACATAGAGAAGAAGAGTTCGGTTGCTTTGATATTGCATCAGGAAAGTCCTGACCAATGGGCATGTTTACTCAGTTGAATTTCTGGCTTCTGTATGGTCTGTGGGTTCCATCACACTGAATGGTTTTTTGCAGTCACTTGTGCTCCTCTCAGTTTCCTTTCTGACATCTCTAGTTATGCTCAAGACCTACGCCTCATGCATTTTACTCAGCCTGAGATATGATCTCCATTTTGTGGACTGTACCCTGAATTTCTTCCCCCAACAGATCTGATTGTATTGTGTAACTGTAGGTCTTTCTTCCCAGTGTTGTCTTTTATAGCCACATCAATGTTTATTCTTACATTTAAAGCAATTTTTAAAAGGAGGTATGTTTAGGTTTTCTGTCCTACTGTGATAACATAGACGGATCTACTTTCCTCCAATACCCGTAATACTGAATGGTATTCACATAATTACCCAGAACAATTCCCTGACAGCTGTCTCTTTTAATAAAGCCCATGTTTAAATTTTGAAATTTTTCTTTCGGGTGTTTATGAATATCATCCTGTCCAGTGTGCTTTATTATTGGTGCTGTAGGTGCTTACTGCATTGTTTATTTTTTTGGGGTTGTTTTTTTTTTTTTTTTTCCTTTGCAGTGTCCCTTGATGTTCATACATTATTAAGGTCAGTACAGACGTTATTATGAAACAGATGCACGTCCATTAAAACCTTGTTAGGAGATGTTATCATATTTCTTTGCACATGTAATTAATTCAGGCTTGACTTACTGCTTCAGTGGAAAGTGAAGTCACTGCTCGGGGATGCAATGGTAAGGTCCCCTGCTTTTTTTCTTATGGCACTGGATTACAGCTTGTGAGCTGCATCCCTGACTTTCTTGCCTTGTGAAAAGTAGTAAGAATTTGCAGCTCATATGCTGTAGCCTGGGATTCTTCATGGGCCAGATGTCAGCTTCTCCTAGAGAAGAAATTTGGTAGATCCTGGCCTGGTGAGTTCTGGCAGTGGTACACGCTCATTCTTGTGCCATTGTTCTGTATCACATAGCTCACATGAGAATATGAGAATGATGTTGTTAAATATGTCCTTCATCCAACCATGCAGATCTTGTTTGAGCCCTTGTTTTTGATAAATTTGGCATTACACCTCAATGTAACATAAAAACTTCTGTTTGCAGAACATGTGTCCATGCTCATTTTTAGATCTAAGTTAGTTGTGTTCAGAATTGTTGACTTCCATGTAGCAAAACTTGACAAGGGTGTTCTTTGGTGGCTTTATTGCTTTTATTTTTTTTCTTAAAGCTGACACTAGTCAGTTGGTTGTTTCACCCAAAGGCTGTCTTCTGCAGGATTTAGAATTTAATCAATGTTAATCAACTTTTGAAGTGAAGATTAATGGGAAAGAATGGTTTATGGTGTTTTCAGAATGCTTGTGTTTCCGTATATCCACACCTGGAAGAAAACCAGTGTTATGCTCAAAATGCCCACTATTAGCTGAGGACATAGAAGTTTTGGACATCACTAGAAATAATTGTGTAAAAACTCCTGGTCCCACTAGATGAAAAGAAAAAAAAAGGTTTCTAGTGACTGACACTAAGAAATATTATTAAATCGTTAACTATTGCTGAAAACGAAGGGAAAATTATATGCTCTTAGGGGTGGTTTTATTTTCTGGTCCTTTTTAGGTCTCAGTTTAGGCTGTTAGTGCATTATTTGGGAAATTGGACCTTAAACCTGTTTTGAAAGTGGCTGGGGAAATCTGCAGCTGTCTTATCAATGAGATTCTTGCAGAGAAAATGCTTTCTGCCAGCTCTCGGATGAGGTATCCAGAGTGAGATGTGCTTGTTTAAAAACACTTTTCTCCTTTTTTTGTTATAACTGGTGTTCTGAAGGTCACTGTGCCCACTGCAAGTTGTGTCACCAAGTTTTTCTGCAAGGAATTTTTAGGGGGCAGTGAATTGGTGAGGAGGGAAGGGGTTTTGTTTGTTTTTGAGATCAGCATTTTACAACCTTTTGACTTTCAAAATTTGACTTTTTACATCTCTTATGGGGTGCCAGGTTTTATTTAAAATTGATCTTTACGTTAATGTTATACTGTGCTTAAACTCTGGATAAGGTTTAATCAATTTAAATAAATAAAGGGTCTGGCCACCTTCTGCATTGACATTGTTTAATAGTATCAGTATGTTGCTGACAGATTCAGTCAAAAGCAAGATTTCTCTTTAAGTGACTGAAAGACTGTAAAAACATAAACAGAATTAAATCGATTTTCAAGGACAAAGTCCTGTGATGGTATTCAGGCTGGGTCTGACTTTTTGAGATTCAGAAATACTGTATGGCTAACTCATGACGGGGCATCCTTTATTACTAACACTTTTCCTTGTAACACAAAGCTCTGTGAAACTGTCTTTTGTGTGAGATAAACCCTTATGTATCTGGCATGCAAAAGAAGGCTAACTGACTCTAGAAGTACTTGTTTCACAGCTAATTCATGCCATGATAAACATTTTCATTTCCTTGAAGGGAAGCTGGAGCTGAACATCCAAGCACTGTTTTGTGTAAGCTGTTCTCAGCCTGCACACCAGCAGTCAACAAATATAGTTCAGTTCATTTCAGTTTGAGCACTGTGAATACCATTTGGCCCTAAGTTAAAGAAAAAGAAAAGCTGAAGCAGGGAAGCATTTTAAAATAAAATAATGAAGGTGGATTTTTTTTCTTACCCAAAGGCAGAAAAGACAGGAAATCTTAATTTACTTACTGTTAAGCTCCACAATCCACAGCCTATTGCTTTGCAGTTGCACTGTCCATAACCCTTGAGAGGAACCATACCTCCTTAGTTACAGAAGAGGGTGGGGGCTGGACAGAAGTAAAGCTTCAGTGGGTAATGTTGTTCAAAGTTTTTTGAGAGGGCAATGCTTCTCATACCAAAAAAAAAAAAAAAAAAAAAATATTGAAGCAGGCTACTGTGATAAGTGATCACAGATTTTTTTGAGTAGTCTTAGCTGATGGAAGTGAGTCATCGGCTGTTTGGTGACATGTAGAGCTTGGCAATTTCAGGGGCATGTCTTGGTGTGGGGAGTACAGAAAAGTTCTGTAATGGTGTTTGTCAAAAAGGGTATTACAGGTTTTATGATAGTGATGAAGAAGATAGGATTCCCATCTAGATCCTTTCTTCTGCTGTCACTCTCCTCTTTATTTGAGACTTGAGTGCTGGGGAGGGAAATATCTAATGGAAGTGAAAATGGAGATTGGCAGAGTTTTACTCTGCCACAGATAAAAAAATGCTTAGCAATGATGAAGAAACACAAATTAAGGTGTGGGGTTTTTCTTCAGTTGAAGAATTCTTTTGCTTAAGAAATGCTTATTCGTATCCTAAACTAGCATAAAAGTCTCATATTGAGAAAGACTATTCAAAGTTTTATTTGAAGTTAACTGGGAGTATGACCCCCTGAATGGGTATTTTGAAAGCACCTGTAATACTTCATGCTTATATTAAAATCCAAGTGCATTATGAGTGGAAGGGAATTTTGTAATTGCCTACAGGCTTGAAAGAGTGGAGGGAAAATGTGCAAAACCACCCTGTGAAATGACGACAAGCCTTTGCTCTGTGCCTCATGGAGTTGCTTCCCTTTTTTTCTCTCCACTGGACAAAACTGTCTGCTTCAGAAGAGTCATGGCTATTATTTGCCTGCTGGGGGTTTGTTTCTTGGCTATGTCTGTGACAGGAGTGACAATATGAGGAATTCCTTGCACTATATGATCCTATGTATGATCCTCTGTATGTCACAGAAGCATGTGATTGTCGTGACCATTTGTGCCATTTGATGTTAAGGTGAAGAAAAATAAAGTGAAAATACAGTATTTCTTTAGAAATTATTGTCTTGTCACAGGAGTCACAGTAAGTCGTGATAAGTAACTCAAAGGATACTTCATAGAGTACTTTTTAAACACATTGTCTCTTCATATTCACCAAGTTTTGATTTTTACGCTATTTATTGTGCTATATTATCCATGGGCTTCTAAGGCCTCGATGCGAGACACTTCAAATGAAGGATCAGTCCTTTGGAAGTACGTATTTGCTCATCTAAGATCAAGGCTAAAGCAGTCTGTGACACGGGGGTTGGTAATGCTAACAGTTTTCATGCTGCAGATGGTTGAGTAAGGTCTGCTTGTCGGAAGGTAAGGAAAATGTCTGTTCTTACTGTGCAGCTGGGAGCTTTTGCTTGAATGCATACCAGTTTGTACTAGCAAGTGGTCCTCATAGCTCTGCCCAGTGATGTCTGAGGAGTAGAAGCAGGCAGGGCTGCTTACAGTGTGATCAAGTGGCATCAACTGGGGCCCTAAGACTACTCCGCTCCTGGGCTGTCTTGCTGTAGCCTTTTTCTGCTTCTCCTAAGCTGCAAGTCTCAGCTCATAAAGAAGCTGTCTGCTGGAGCTCAGCTTCAAGACAGCTTTCTTATACCAGCTCTGTTGGCTGTGACTGAGTTGAAAATGAAATCTGGTGCATGTTATGGTACCAGTTTATTGTGCGCCTTTTTAAAGTTTTCCATCATTTTGTTTTGAATGAGAGGTACCATTTCATAATTCTACTTCTGTAGCATTGGCATTATAAAGACTTAGAGAGACAGTACAGGGCTGGGGACAAAGAAATGGAAAACACCCCATCATTTTCTTAGCTCTAAGTGAGATAAATCAAAACTACTGAAGTCACAAGACTAGCTAAGAATCCCTCTGCCTTTTTTTCATTTCAGTATACATGAAGCTCAAGATCTGAACCTGCTATGACTGACCCAGACGTCCTCACTGAGGTCCCAGCAGCTCTCAAACGCCTTGCCAAATATGTGGTGCGTGGCTTTTATGGCATTGAACATGCTTTGGCTCTGGACATTCTCATCAGGAACCCCTGCGTGAAGGAAGAGGACATGTTAGAGCTCCTTAAGTTTGATAGGAAGCAGTTGCGGGCTGTCCTCAACACCCTCAAGGGTGACAAGTTCATCAAATGCAGGATGAGGGTAGAGACGGCTCCAGATGGCAAAACCACCCGACATAACTACTACTTCATCAACTACCGCCTTCTTGTTAATGTGGTGAAGTACAAGCTGGACCACATGAGGAGGAGGATTGAGACGGATGAAAGAGACTCCACCAATCGCGCCTCTTTTAAATGCCCCATTTGCTTCAGCACTTTCACAGACTTGGAGGCCAACCAGCTGTTTGACCCCAGGACAGGTAAGAGTACAGTTAGCAGAATGTTCTTGCTCTCTTTCTTGTAAGTGCTGGACTTTAAGGAAACAGTCTTAGGAGAGTTCTCTTGAGTTCGGATGGAGCTAGAGGGCACTCTGTTCCTGCAGGTGGTAAATGTTTGAGCAAAGGACAATATATACAGACTTAACACAGTCTGTATAGGCAAATAGCAATGTTGGTAAAACAGTTGAGTGACAAGCAGTAGAGAAATGGAGGTCTTGTCACAATCGAATTCAAGGGTGAGTAAGGCAGTCTGTCCTTGTTGGAAGCGGATGGATTTTCAGTATAACCTGGTCTTGCCTGTAAGCTGTATGACTTACTGTTAGTTTGGAGAGAGGGCATAGGTGTAGTTGACTTTGCTATGCAAAAAAATTTTAATTTAGAGATGGTCGTGCAAGGAGTGAGTTGTTACTGTTCAGTTTTCTTCTAGCCAGTTCATTATATTGCACAACCATGTTTCCCCAGTGTAAAGCAGTCTCATGAAAGTTAAAAGAAATTAGTTACAGACTTGCCTGTGGTTGTGAGTAAACAAGATTCTTTTTCAAGTGTGTGTCTCAGTCTCAGCGGAGGTGCCTATCTGTCTCATGCGTATGACGTAAGAATCTTTTCTGGGTGTCATTGTGTACAGGAGCAGTCCAAATAAGTTGTGCTTCCATGCCAGGGAAGAAAAGGAAGAACACCTGCACCTGATGAGATCCTGTTTTGCTAGTCTAATCTGGGATTATTCTGGGGGGAAGGTAGGAGCAGGGCTTCCACCTTTGGAATGATTTTCTTTACTTCTTAATGTTTCATTTTGAATTATTTGTCCTGATCTTACATTTCCACAAAAATAAAAGAGCAAAACCAGGAAAGCTCTCAGAAAAACTGGAGGGTGGTGCATTGTGTCAGTTACCATAATGAGAAACTGTAACAATTGCCTGTTTAGTGGTAGTGAAGCTTTTAGTCTAGGGGTACTTATGTCTAATCTGCTTTGGAGAAGGGGAAACACCCAACAAATGTTCAGCATATAATGTCCCCTCTTTCTTGCCTCCCAAGACCAAGAGCTGTGAAGTTGCTCCCTCGTGGAGCACCAAAACCAGCAGTGCCAGCACAGATCTTTCTATACTCACCACGTGCTCTCTACAGTAATTATCATCTGTGTCAGCTACAGTTGTGGGTATCAGGCTGAAGGGGAACAGTGCATTTGCAGTTTGCTTCAGTAAGGAGAGAGCTGAGAACCTGTGCAGAGAACGTAGTGGGGAGTGTGAGACACTCATCCCAAGGGGGCCTGTAACACTTTGCAGGTGAATCCTCCCAGCCTATGTGGGTGGTGAGTTCCGAGAGCAAAGAACTGTCTGTCAAGGAGGTGCAGAAGACACTAATGCTGGGATTTGGCTTTGACAGCAGGGCCTGTGCTCCAGCAGCTGATGAGGTCAGCCAAGGGTTTTTGTGCAGTACAGGCACTGGCTGTCCCCACAATGCAAAATCATTCACCCTCAGTGCACCCTCAGTGAGTTTGCAGATCACACCAAGCTGAGTGGTGCGGTTGACACCCCTGAGGGATGGGATGCCATCTAGAGGGACCTTGACTAGCTGGAGGAGTGGGCTTGTGAAAACCTCATGAGGTTCAACAAGGCCCAATGCAAGGTCCTGCACATGGGTCGAGGAAACACCCAGTATCTATACAGGCTGGGGGATGAAGAGATTGAGAACAGCCCTGCTGAGAAAGAGCTGGGTGTCCTGGTGGATGAGAAGTTGGACATGAACTGGAAATGTGCACTTACAGCCCAGAAAGCCAACTGTATCCTGGGCTGCATCAAAAGAACCATGGTCAGCAGGTGGAGGGAGGTGGTTCTGCCCCTCTGCTCTGCTCTCATGAGACCCCACCTGGAGTTCTGTGTTCAGCTGTGGGGCCCCCAACATAAAAAAGACCTGGACCTGTTGGAGTGAGTCCAGAGGAGGGTCACGAAAATGATCCAAGGCCTGGAACACCTCCTCTGTGAGGAGAGGCTGAGAGGGTTGGGGTTGTTCACCTTGGAGAGGAGAAGACTCTGAGGAGACCTGATTGTGGCCTTTCAGTACCTAAAGGGGGCTTATAAGAAAGATGGGGATAAACTTTTTAAAAAGGTGTGTATCAATAGGACAAGGAGTAATGGTTTTAAACTAAAAGAGGAGAGGTTTAGACTAGATATAAGGAAGAAATATTTTATGCTTAGCCTGGTGAAATGCTGGAATGGCTTGCCCAGGGAGGTGGTAGATGCCCTGTCCTTGGAAACATTCGAGATCAGGTTGGATGGGGCTCTGGGCAACCTTGATCTAGTGGAAGATGTCCCTTACTGCAGAGGGGTTGGACTAGCTAACCTCCATGGTCCCTTCCAACTCAAGCTATTGTATGATTCTAAGATTCTACGATTTACTGGCACACGAAGCATTTTGCTGTTTTGCTGATGGAAGGAAAGATGGAGTGCTGTTTTCCCAGCAATTCCCAGCAGTTGGCTTCTGTAAACATTAATGCAAATAACAACACAGCCAGTTTACCTTCACTTACTTTCAATAAGAACATACCTGTCTAGAATTTATGTGTATTCTGTTTCTCCATATATAACTTTTAAGTCAAAGATGGGCTCATCTATCTCGTGCTTGGTGATACTGCTGTTCCTCAAGAGCTTTTACATGGAATACCAGTTTGGATAGGGCTCTCCAGTTACTGCTTAAGAAGTCTCCAAAACTCGAGATAGCTGCTTTTTTCCATTCTGGATAAGTAAGTGGGCAATTTCGGGTTTTTTTGTTTGTGTTTTTGTTGTTGTTGTTTGTTTGTTTGTTTGTTTTTGGTGAGAAAGGCTGCCTTATATTGCAGTGGATTGTGTTGTCTGTATATGTTTCTTGCTCCCCTGGAATGCTGTATTAGGGAAGAACTGAGACACCTTTGGATCTCTCACAGAGGGAGCTTGTGAGGACAAGGCATGCAGAGGGACAAGGTTTATTAGACAGTGAATAGCTGTTCTCTTCCAAGGATATCTAACCCTTATCAGTGATATACATAAACCTCTCCCACTCATTGAAACTCATGGCAGTACAACTGCTGATGGGGAGCTGAAAGCCACATGAATTTCAGTCACGGTTGACCTGAGCTGCTCCTGGTCTGCAGCCATGTTGATAAAGTTTTTTTAATTAAAAGGCCTGCAGGGCCAAAGTCTGTTAGTCCATGGAGCAGGTAGAGTATGGAGGGCATCCTGTGCACTAGTCTAGACCAAGCTTAAGGTGGTCTGTTGTTAAAAGGCATCCTGTTTTTCTGTCTGCTTTTTGTCCTTGTCAGTCAGAGACGGGGATGGTTTAGATGTCCTGTGTTTTCTTCTGCTTCCTGTCCTCTTCCCTAGTTACAATTCAAATACAAACTCTGAGCAACTGTAGAATAAAAGGGTTAGAAGAGGAGGTTATTGCTCTTGTCCTTACTTATCAATGATGATGAGGAGGTTTCCAGAATCTCTCCATGACTGTAGTCATTCTGTTGCAATTTGTTAATTAAGAATGCTTGTGAAGAGCCTGTCCATAAGTTGAATCTGTAATGCTCTTTAATTTTTACCATGGCATCTGTGTCTGTCTCTCGGCTTTAGCAGAGGTCTGTTTCTTACAGGTTACCAGCTGTCAAATGGAGGCTTTTTTTAGCTCTGCACTTTACTCCATTTTGTGAGTAATTCTGAAATAAACCGAGGTATTTATTTTTTCATAAGAAGATTGGTGATTTTGGAAGGTGGAAATGTGTCTGCTGAGAGAAGATAATTGATAGTAAGAAGGGTATGTGTTCAGGGTATAAATGTGATTCGGTTGCTGTTCATCCAGTTAATTTGGAAAAATGTTTTTGAACAGAGTAGCAGCTTTGCCCCTAAGGTAATTTTAAATGTAGATTTTAAATGGTATAAATGTTACTTTGAGAGTGTGATCTCTGTGTTTTTAAAAGTATTATATGATTTTTCTTCATCCCTTTTTCTGCCATTAAACAATCCAAAAAAGCTCCAAAAATATACTATCCTGTCAAAAGTTGAACAAGTATTGTCTGGTACCTGTAGGAAGTTCAAGGACAGGAATGGTGTCATGTTAAAGAAACTGTCAGATGGTGAAAGTCAAGGTGCAGAAAAAACTGGAGTTTTGCTGCTTTTTCAACTCACAAAGGGAACTTTTGAAAAGTGATAAGAAAAGCAGCACATGTTGTGTTGGAGTCGCTTGGTTGTATGACCAGTGGGTGCCTGCTCTCTCTACGCATGGCATGCCCGGGTCATGAGTTTTAGCCCCGTCTGTTCTAAATGAAGAGCTTGAACACATCTCCAGGTATCACACTTTCTCCTCAGTGGCAGTTTTTACTGTTGCCACCAAATAAAGCAGTACCAGTAACTCCTGCTTTTAGAGTCAAACAGCTTGAACAGAGCATGCTTTTATTTTGCAAAAGTTTACTGTGGAAACTTGTAGCAAAGTTAAGAACTTTCTGATTGGTGAGGTTGCAGATTTGCAGTTTGCGTATTGACCTGGCAGTGCCTTTGGTGGGAATTGGTACAGGCTGTGTTGTGCAGGCTGAGCAGACAGTTCTTACCCACTTGTGGGTGTTTTGAGATCTGTAGAAATTAAAACACTAACACTGTATGAACCAAAAGTGTTACTTCTAGCCTTGTGTTTCAGGTGGGGTGACTAAGAAAAGAAGATTGTAGTTTTCCTAGAAGATCCTAATATAAGCACTTGAAATACAGGTCATTGCCTTTCGCTTGTGCCATTGTCTGCTGTCTACCTGTGCTCTGATATTTCATTGCTCTTTGTTTTGCATGCTAGCAATTGCATGCGGCTGCCGTTGTGATGAAGCCTTGTGCAGGTGGAAAGCTGCAGCCATTCCATTAAACAAGGTAAGGGCTATCTCTTCAGGCACGGACATACAAGAAAGAGTTTAACTGGAAAGTGGTAAGAAAAGCCAGATGTCAAATGCATACTGTGAATAACACTGCTGACCTCTGTCTATTCCC